ATAGCCCCCACGCACTTGGCACCACTTGGTGGTGCCACTACAGCCCCATTCTGAAAGTGGCAAATGATAGCCCTAGGGCCCCTCTACCTTGCCCCAATAATCATTTGATGAACACTTCAAGGATAAGGCGTATAATAGCTGCCCTTTTCCTGTTTCCCAATGTACAATGATGAAAAACATCAAAGTTCAGGTTAGCTAACTGGACCCTTCCAACCCCTAGGACCCTGTAGAAATCTGTCAAGGGATACCCCCTAAGGCCCTCTACCCATCCCCAGTGTTAGTTTGTTTAGGAGGTCGACAATGAATAAGATATGAATGCTGGAAAAAGGCCCCACGCCCTTGGCACCACTTGGTGGTGCCACTACAGCCCCATTCTGAAAGTGGCAAATGATAGCCCTAGGGCCCCTCTACCTTGCCCCAATAATCATTTGATGAACACTTCAAGGATAAGGCGTATAATAGCTGCCCTTTTCCTGTTTCCCAATGTACAATGATGAAAAACATCAAAGTTCAGGTTAGCTAACTGGACCCTTCCAACCCCTAGGACCCTGTAGAAATCTGTCAAGGGATACCCCCTAAGGCCCTCTACCCATCCCCAGTGTTAGTTTGTTTAGGAGGTCGACAATGAATAAGATATGAATGCTGGAAAAAGGCCCCACGCCCTTGGCACCACTTGGTGGTGCCACTACAGCCCCATTCTGAAAGTGGCAAATGATAGCCCTAGGGCCCCTCTACCTTGCCCCAATAATCATTTGATGAACACTTCAAGGATAAGGCGTATAATAGCTGCCCTTTTCCTGTTTCCCAATGTACAATGATGAAAAACATCAAAGTTCAGGTTAGCTAACTGGACCCTTCCAACCCCTAGGACCCTGTAGAAATCTGTCAAGGGATACCCCCTAAGGCCCTCTACCCATCCCCAGTGTTAGTTTGTTTAGGAGGTCGACAATGAATAAGATATGAATGCTGGAAAAAGGCCCCACGCCCTTGGCACCACTTGGTGGTGCCACTACAGCCCCATTCTGAAAGTGGCAAATGATAGCCCTAGGGCCCCTCTACCTTGCCCCAATAATCATTTGATGAACACTTCAAGGATAAGGCGTATAATAGCTGCCCTTTTCCTGTTTCCCAATGTACAATGATGAAAAACATCAAAGTTCAGGTTAGCTAACTGGACCCTTCCAGCCCCTTGGACCCTGTAGAAATCTGTCAAGGGATACCCCCTAAGGCCCTCTACCCATCCCCAGTGTTAGTTTGTTTAGGAGGTCGACAATGAATAAGATATGAATGCTGGAAAAAGGCCCCACGCCCTTGGCACCACTTGGTGGTGCCACTACAGCCCCATTCTGAAAGTGGCAAATGATAGCCCTAGGGCCCCTCTACCTTGCCCCAATAATCATTTGATGAACACTTCAAGGATAAGGCGTATAATAGCTGCCCTTTTCCTGTTTCCCAATGTACAATGATGAAAAACATCAAAGTTCAGGTTAGCTAACTGGACCCTTCCAACCCCTAGGACCCTGTAGAAATCTGTCAAGGGATACCCCCTAAGGCCCTCTACCCATCCCCAGTGTTAGTTTGTTTAGGAGGTCGACAATGAATAAGATATGAATGCTGGAAAAAGGCCCCACGCCCTTGGCACCACTTGGTGGTGCCACTACAGCCCCATTCTGAAAGTGGCAAATGATAGCCCTAGGGCCCCTCTACCTTGCCCCAATAATCATTTGATGAACACTTCAAGGATAAGGCGTATAATAGCTGCCCTTTTCCTGTTTCCCAATGTACAATGATGAAAAACATCAAAGTTCAGGTTAGCTAACTGGACCCTTCCAGCCCCTAGGACCCTGTAGAAATCTGTCAAGGGATACCCCCTAAGGCCCTCAACCCATCCCCAGTGTTAGTTTGTTTAGGAGGTCGACAATGAATAAGATATGAATGCTGGAAAAAGGCCCCACGCCCTTGGCACCACTTGGTGGTGCCACTACAGCCCCATTCTGAAAGTGGCAAATGATAGCCCTAGGGCCCCTCTACCTTGCCCCAATAATCATTTGATGAACACTTCAAGGATAAGGCGTATAATAGCTGCCCTTTTCCTGTTTCCCAATGTACAATGATGAAAAACATCAAAGTTCAGGTTAGCTAACTGGACCCTTCCAGCCCCTAGGACCCTGTAGAAATCTGTCAAGGGATACCCCCTAAGGCCCTCTACCCATCCCCAGTGTTAGTTTGTTTAGGAGGTCGACAATGAATAAGATATGAATGCTGGAAAAAGGCCCCACGCCCTTGGCACCACTTGGTGGTGCCACTACAGCCCCATTCTGAAAGTGGCAAATGATAGCCCTAGGGCCCCTCTACCTTGCCCCAATAATCATTTGATGAACACTTCAAGGATAAGGCGTATAATAGCTGCCCTTTTCCTGTTTCCCAATGTACAATGATGAAAAACATCAAAGTTCAGGTTAGCTAACTGGACCCTTCCAGCCCCTTGGACCCTGTAGAAATCTGTCAAGGGATACCCCCTAAGGCCCTCTACCCATCCCCAGTGTTAGTTTGTTTAGGAGGTCGACAATGAATAAGATATGAATGCTGGAAAAAGGCCCCACGCCCTTGGCACCACTTGGTGGTGCCACTACAGCCCCATTCTGAAAGTGGCAAATGATAGCCCTAGGGCCCCTCTACCTTGCCCCAATAATCATTTGATGAACACTTCAAGGATAAGGCGTATAATAGCTGCCCTTTTCCTGTTTCCCAATGTACAATGATGAAAAACATCAAAGTTCAGGTTAGCTAACTGGACCCTTCCAACCCCTAGGACCCTGTAGAAATCTGTCAAGGGATACCCCCTAAGGCCCTCTACCCATCCCCAGTGTTAGTTTGTTTAGGAGGTCGACAATGAATAAGATATGAATGCTGGAAAAAGGCCCCACGCCCTTGGCACCACTTGGTGGTGCCACTACAGCCCCATTCTGAAAGTGGCAAATGATAGCCCTAGGGCCCCTCTACCTTGCCCCAATAATCATTTGATGAACACTTCAAGGATAAGGCGTATAATAGCTGCCCTTTTCCTGTTTCCCAATGTACAATGATGAAAAACATCAAAGTTCAGGTTAGCTAACTGGACCCTTCCAGCCCCTTGGACCCTGTAGAAATCTGTCAAGGGATACCCCCTAAGGCCCTCTACCCATCCCCAGTGTTAGTTTGTTTAGGAGGTCGACAATGAATAAGATATGAATGCTGGAAAAAGGCCCCACGCCCTTGGCACCACTTGGTGGTGCCACTACAGCCCCATTCTGAAAGTGGCAAATGATAGCCCTAGGGCCCCTCTACCTTGCCCCAATAATCATTTGATGAACACTTCAAGGATAAGGCGTATAATAGCTGCCCTTTTCCTGTTTCCCAATGTACAATGATGAAAAACATCAAAGTTCAGGTTAGCTAACTGGACCCTTCCAACCCCTAGGACCCTGTAGAAATCTGTCAAGGGATACCCCCTAAGGCCCTCTACCCATCCCCAGTGTTAGTTTGTTTAGGAGGTCGACAATGAATAAGATATGAATGCTGGAAAAAGGCCCCACGCCCTTGGCACCACTTGGTGGTGCCACTACAGCCCCATTCTGAAAGTGGCAAATGATAGCCCTAGGGCCCCTCTACCTTGCCCCAATAATCATTTGATGAACACTTCAAGGATAAGGCGTATAATAGCTGCCCTTTTCCTGTTTCCCAATGTACAATGATGAAAAACATCAAAGTTCAGGTTAGCTAACTGGACCCTTCCAGCCCCTAGGACCCTGTAGAAATCTGTCAAGGGATACCCCCTAAGGCCCTCTACCCATCCCCAGTGTTAGTTTGTTTAGGAGGTCGACAATGAATAAGATATGAATGCTGGAAAAAGGCCCCACGCACTTGGCACCACTTGGTGGTGCCACTACAGCCCCATTCTGAAAGTGGCAAATGATAGCCCTAGGGCCCCTCTACCTTGCCCCAATAATCATTTGATGAACACTTCAAGGATAAGGCGTATAATATCTGATCTTTAATGGCGTTTTTGGGATAAAATGCAAAAACTCCAAAGTTCAGCGTAGATAACTGGCCCTTTCCCGCCCCTAGGATCTTTGGAACGTTGACAAGGGATTCTCCCTAAGACCCTTAACTTAATCACTAATAATTGATGATGAATGATTGCTTGAAATATGACCAATGCACTTGGCACCACCTGGTGGTACCACTAAAGCCCCTTTTGATAGCAGGAAATAATATTCCTTGGGCCGTTCTATCTGGCCCTAGTAATGTTGATCACTTTATAAATCATGGGTATAAAACCTGCTTGTAATATCAAAAATTGCTTTTGGAGCCACTTGGTGGCACCACCACCACTTATTACTGATAGTGGTAATTTACAGTCTTAAAGATTCATTAAGTTGTCCCTGTAATAATGTTCGAAACATACTTCAACCTAGTTTACACTTGTGCCATATTTCTGTTTACAATCGTTATATATTAATCAAATTTCAGGTTAGCTTATTGGCCCTGTCATAATCTTGAGGTCCCTGAAAGAGTTGAAAAGGGATTCTTACTGAAGGAGTTATCCATTTCCTGGTGCTTGTTTGTTCAATTGGATAAGAATTATAAAGTAATGTATTTCTTATTTTTCGGTTTTAAAAAAGGAAAAAAAAATGTTCAGGTGAGCCTTACTGCCTCTGAGTATCTGATTTATTATGTAATTAATTGCTGCATTAATTTTCTAATCATTAACCATTAATGATCTAAAATAACGCATTAAAAACAGTACTACGTCTGAGTACTCTCAGTTCTTTGATGAATTTCCTTATTGGCTGCTAGCTTTTACGCGCTTAGTGGCTGCTGTTATTGGCTGCTAGCTTCAGCCTGGTACATACCCCACACAGAGTTTTGTGCGTTGAGAAAGGCCTATTAAATTTTAACTACATATACGTACCCCACAGTTAGAGCGTTGTATAATTATGTGTTTTAACTATACACACCCCCAGAGAGAGTCGTACGTGTTATATACGTACCCATAGAGAGAGTCGTACGTGTTAAGGAAGGCCTATTGTATTTTGTTTATACGTACCCCCAGAGAGAGTCGTACGTGTTAAGGAAGGCTTTGCCCGCCTCCCACTCGGACTGTGTGTCAAACACGGCTAGCCTCATCCCAAGGGACTCACACTCGGCCTTGGCCTGGGCCACAGTTTTGGCTGTACTTTTACCATAATAAAATCCTGTTAAAACAACAGTTTCTTGATCACCAATACAAATAGTCAAATGGACAGCTTTTATCAAGAACCGAATTGAACATTGTAAAATCAATTAAAGTTATATCAATTTTGTTGTATAATGCTGAACAAAGTTGATGAAAAATCTACTTGACACATATTCTTGTAGAGCTTATGTCTCCCAGTTAGTTTGTTACACAGGAGCATACTCTACGTAAAAATCTCTAAAACGACACAAGTTTTTGCAAACAGGTTGATGAAACAAGGATAACAATTGTCACCAATCTCCTTTTTTAAAAGTCATAAATTTGCAAGTTATTTGCACATGGTTGATAAAATGACCATATCAGCAAATACAATTTGAAGTTGAATGCTGGTCGACGTTTTTGATGCATTATTCAAGCTTTGTATTGTTTACAGATTTTCCTATTTATCTGATCATGACAAGGAACCCACGGCAAGTGTTCTGCAGGAGACCCTAACTCCTCCATGGCATCATCTGATCCCATCTCTGATGTGTCTGGGGTCCGTATTTGATCTTCTTCAGCTTTGTATCGTTTTAAAAGACTTTTGAACTTAAATGCTATATTCGTCATGCATCACCATATCGATTCAAAATCTTTCTTTAATGAAATATTCTAGTATGGAGATAACGAACAGTATTTAAGCTATACTGCTTATATTCCAGTTTCAGCAACTAGTTTTTCAATAACTTCCCTCATTTTAGAAATTATTAATACATAGAGCATGCGTATCGAATCAACTTAGAGAAATAAACCCGGTATGCACATGATAAAGGTATATTGCTGCATAAGCAGAGGAAGTTGATTATTGAAAAAGGTAAAATCGTCACGTTTATCATAAAGCTTGCTTGTTAGATTACCATTGACGTCTATTTCAGGTTAAGATATCTAAATATGACAAAGATTTAAAATATTCAAAAAGGATAATATGATTTTAAAGACTTTTCTCCTTAGAAAGGGAGCAAAGGGTATCAGCAAAATAATATATTGCAAATCTAGGCGTTTTCCACATAGACCTGCTTGTATGAACTATTATATATACACATTTCCTGACGTTGCTTATTTTTCCTTTAATAAATAAATATGCCCCTACCTAATAGTCCACATTACTTGGGGCGTATATTTTCTATATAAGAAAAAATAATAAGTAATGTCAGGTGCCTGCGTACATGTATATAGCTTGAGTAAATTCAATGTTTTATGGTTAAATATAAAATTATTTCATAAGAAGGAAAGGACTTTAAAAAAAATATTTTCACGATTTTGAAGCACAAGTGAAAATAATTTTAAGAAAAACTGAAAAAATACCAATTTTATTCAATAAATAAATCACAATACCATTTATTTCCCTTTTGACAAAAAATGGAATTAAAATATATTATTCGTACCTGATGCTGGTAAAAACCTTATCACAAGTTCTAAAATGAGCACACCTGTCTTAATCTTCATTTCTCTCTCGAATATTATATTTTAAAACTCTCAATGGCAGTTTATTTTCTATTGATCCTTGTTTCAAATAAATGAACAGGCGTAACAATTATTCTTTTAAAGTTGCAAACACATTTTACGTAAATATAGGAAAAACATTAAAGTACAAAGAAGACAAAGTACAAAAGAAACATCGATTTACCTCCTCATAATTATATAAAGTCGTAACAAGGTCAAGGAGCAATCGATAAATTTTCTTGATTTTCTTTTAAAATTTTGATAGAAGGAATGATATACAAATAACATGTAATTCAAATATTTTTTAATGTTTATTTAATGTTACGTAAATCAATTTTTCATTACGGGTCGAGTAAATAACTAATTTGTCTCACCCAAGATTCAAATAAATGACTTAAAGTTACTAGAGTGAAAGATACAATATTAGCCATGCACATAAATTAAATATACATATATAGTGCGTGTAACACTTAATGATTAAAATTTTTAAATTTTGAATATATTAGTTCAAATATCTAAATTTCGAAAAGTCAAACTAATTTGGTATATTGATTTAATATTTCCGTTCAAAAATCTAAATTCTTAATTTTCTAAACAGGTTTACAATTTTAATATTTCAGATTTTTACCTTAAATATTCATACACTTGTATTTCCAAAAATGATTTTGAGTTTTTAATCTACCGTTTCTTCAGAAAGTTAATGCTTAACAAATCTTGACTAAAGTTCAACTAAAGTAAACATTTTGAAATTATTTATAATTTACTTCAAACTTCTGAATGCCAACTTTCAAAACGGTTTTTTGAAACGTGGTATTTTGATTCATACATAAAATGTTCAAATAACCATAACTCTTCGAGTTTTTTTTTAAGAATTTTACTTTAAATATCCAAAATATCAAATTTCCACACTCGATTTGAATTTTGAATATCAGTTCAATATTTTAACAATCTAAAAGCTCTTTTACTTCACCAAAAGAGTGTTTGAAATAGTTTCAAAGATCAAACCAGGTCTGGAATTTGATACTTTGGATATTTGAAGTAAAAGACTAAAAATCTTAATGTAAAAAGTGTTTCAGAATATTTAACATTTGAGTGTTTGAATCAAAGTTCTAAATTTCTAAAAAAAAAATTAAAATGCTCGAAAGCTGAAATTTAGAAGTTCAAAAGAGAAATTATGTTACTAAATTTTGGATAGTTAAGCGTAAATTTTCTGAACAAACGGTAGATTAAAAAAAAAATTAAAATGCAAAAATCGTTTTTAGAAATGTGAATTTTAAACATTTAAGGTAAAAATGTTGAATATTATAATCAATAAATCTGTTATCAAATTTGAAAATTTACACGGAGGTCTGTGTAACAATTAACAGTTCATTTCTAAAATGATTTTGATTTTTAAAATGTTAATATATTATAATTCTAATTTCTAAATTTCAAAAACTCAAACTGATTTGGTATATTGAAATTTAATATTTCTGTTCAAAAATGTGAATTTTCAAATTTCCAAACGGGTGTTAAAATTTTGATCTTTTAGATTTTTACAATAAATGTTCAAAATTCAAATTTCAAAAAAGTGATTTTTGGATTTTAAACTTTGTAAGTTTTTTCATAACGTTTATGCTTAATAATCTAAAGTTCAGAACCATTTTTTGATATTTTAAAATTAATTCAAACTTTTAAATTTCAACTTTCAAAAGGTTTAAGATTTATTGAAATTTAGAATTTTGATTCATTCAAATTTAAAATAATGGGCTTAATCATGATATTTCAAAACCAACACTCTACTGAAAATCTTTAATTGAATCGCATCTATTATCATCTTTCTTTCAAGTAGCTTTAACATGCATATTTACTGCAGATGGTCCCCTTAATATAAATTTATATCCATAATATTCAACATGGCGATTAACGGTATTTCTTAAATAGAAAACCATCGTCGGATTTGGTTTTCTTCTCTTAAAAATACATTAGTGTGCAGAAACAGCTGCTATCTAAAATGTCCAGTAGAACTAAGTCATCGTCAGAATGAGGACATTTTTGTTTGTTTGGATTATTTTTCACCTTATCAAAATTCAAGGTTTGCTTAAGTTATGAAAGGTTTAAAATAATCTTAAATGCTAGTATTTATAAAAATGCAAGATATGAACACTTACATGTTTACTTTGTGTGTATACTAGTAATTTTAAATATGTATTTTACATATTATTTGAAGCATTCTTAAATAAAACGCTATCATTATTTTAAACATGCTTCACAGATTTTGCAAATAACATCATATCTACGATCATTTTCAGTCACAGAGACTTATAACTGGCGATCATCTGATGGGTTCCAGCGTTTTGGTCACGTGTCAGCACGACTAACAGACAGACCATGCCCCCACGGCTGGTTACACTACCAAGGGAGCTGTTATTATTTTAGCAGAGACCGACTGGAATGGTGGAGGGCATTGGTTTGTTTATATTATAATTAAATATTTGGAGATAACGATAAGTAATCCAGCTCAAAAGTCCATTTAACATTAGAAAAGGAGTGGAGCAAACACGGACCTCGAATCAGAGGTGGGATAAGATGCCATAGAGGAGTGAGCATCCCTATAGCCAGTTGAGCTCCTTTGCTAAGAACATTGTATTTTTTAGAATTATATTTGCGATCGCCAAACGATTTTGTATTGAAGAAGGATATGGAGATAACGAACAGTATTCAATATCAAAGTTCATAAAACAATACAAAATAGGAGCAGAGCAAACACGGACCTCCGAAACATCAGCGGTGGGATCAGGTGCCGTGGAGGAGTGAGCATCCCCTGCCGACAGGTCACACCCGCCGTTTGCTCTTTGTCATGATCAGGAAATAACAGAAAAAACCCGTCGTCAATTCAATGTATAATAATTGACTAACAATTAGTATAAAAACGTCAGTCAGCATTTGACCAGTGATAAATTGTATTTTCTGACAAGGTCGTTGTATCGACCGTACACGTAGAGCATGCCCTTGCGTATCGAATCAAATGAGATATATACACTCCGTATGCAGGTGATGAAGGTATATTGCTGCATAAGTAAGGGAAGTTGACGATTGAAAAGTTAAAGTCATTACGTTTTATCATAGACCTTGTTATAAGATTACCATTAACGTCTTTTTCAAGTGAAATAGCCAAGTATGAAACAGATGTGTCAGACTCCGTGGTATCTTTTATTTCAAGCTCTCCAGGATACATCGTATCGACGTAGGAATAGAAATTACCATTGTTAATTTACAATAAGCCGTCGATATATCTAAATGTCGAGTTGAAGGCCACATCAAGTGTTTTCTTTTCAAGCATAAGATTTTGCACAAATTCAGCTTCATATGAATACAAAAATAGGTCTGCTTATAAGGGAGAGCAGTTGGTACCCCATGGGAATTCCAATAGATTGTTGGAATACCTGGTTTCGAGAAACCACAAAGATATAGTCAATCAGAAACTCGAGCATCTTTTTGATGTCAACTTCAGAGTACTTGTGTGTGCAATCAGAATGTGTTTTAACAAAATAATTTTGCAAATGACCAATGACCAGGTAAGTAATTTTACGAGTTCCATTTTTATTGAAAAAGCAGCTGTCAATTATATCAAAAAGCCTGGAGTTTAATATATCGTGGGGAATGGTTGTGTATAAAGTTGAAAAGCTTTCAAGCTGTTGATTTTGGTAAAATCTTGTGATTTCAAACTGTCCAAAAGTTCTTTGGAATTTTTGAGTATCCACATTTGATTCACAACACTTCTTGAATATATTGTTGCACATTACTCTTGAAGTTTTTCCTTCACTACTGTAAATATCTTAGTGAAGAGTAACGAAAGAGGCTTGGTTGAACATTTACTGGAACCCGCAATGTATCTTTGTAAGGATTTTTAAGAAGTTTCGGAATCCAATATATATATATGGTAGTTCAAATTCATTTTGTCTCTGTGGAATATTAAAAATATTTAAAACTGACATATGATTTTGAAGAATTTCTTCCTTAGACAGGGAAGTATGAGTATAAGTAGGATTACCACTTCTTCTAAAATAGAATTTATATAATGAGCCTTACAAACGAAGACAAGATTGTTACCTGCTTTGTCGGCAGGGACCAGTACGTACTAGCTGATCATGTATTCTATCTAATTCTTTTTACACTTCTGGATTATTGAACACAGAAGGATAGATGGTTTTCATAATGCCCCCAATCTTTTAATACGCGATTTAACATGGATCTGATACATTTAATCCATTCTGACAAGGTGTCAACGTCTTCTTTTTCATATCTGACCCATCGTCTGGGGTAATTTTCAACATAATCCATAATAATTCTGAAATTCCGACGCCAGTTGAAGGATCGGGGTTTCCTATATTTAGGACCTTTTAAAATAAGTGATCTAAGATCCTCATTATTCACTATATTTACGTCACCTGTAATAACGTGTCCAGCAGGACTATATAGTTATAGGGCGAAAGAGAAAGAACAAAATTAAAAGGAGAGAAAAATAACAAATTGAACGTACTTTTTTGATATTTGGATATCACGTGTGAATGTGAAATTATTAAAGCAATTTTTGATATAACTGGTCATTTGATTGGATAAAATACTTTATTTTGTATAACATAATTTGTAGGTACATTGTAATGTTATAAATGAGGGTTGTTTATTTTTGTAGTTTAGGTTTTGATATTTGTAGCTGAAGTGTTTAAGATACAGACCTTGCATCTGTAGATAAGGTTTTGGTATTTGTAGGTGAAGTGTATAAGTATGGATGGGTACCTTGTATCTGTACCTTAGGTTTTGATATTTGTAGGTAAAGTGTATAAGTATGGATGGGTATACGTACCTTGTATCTGTACAATAGGTTTTGATATTTGTAGGTGAACTGTATAAGTATGGATGGAGACCTTGTATCTGTAGATAAGATTTTGATATTTGTAGGTGAAGTGTATAAGTATGGATGGAGACCTTGTATCTGTACATTAGGTTTTGATATTTGTAGGTGAAGTGTATAAGTATGGATGGGTACTTTGTATCTCTACATTAGGTTTGATATTTGTAGGTGAAGTGTATAAGTATGGATGGGTACCTTGTATCTCTACATTAGGTTTGATATTTGTAGGTGAAGTGTATAAGTATGGATGGGTATCTTGTATCTCTACATTAGGTTTGATATTTGTAGGTGAAGTGTATAAGTATGGATGGGTATCTTGTATCTCTACATTAGGTTTGATATTTGTAGGTGAAGTGTATAAGTATGGATGGAGACCTTGTATCTGTACATTAGGTTCTGATATTTGTAGGTGAAGTGTATAAGTATGGATGGGTATCTTGTATCTCTACATTAGGTTTGATATTTATAGCTGAAGTGTATAAGTATGGATGGGTACCTTGTATCTCTACATTAGGTTTGATATTTGTAGGTGAAGTGTATAAGTATGGATGGGTACCTTGTATCTCTACATTAGATTTGATATTTGTAGGTGAAGTGTATAAGTATGGATGGAGACCTTGTATCTGTAGATTAGGTTTGATATTTGTAGGTGAACTGTATAAGTATGGATGGAGACCTTGTATCTGTAGATAAGATTTTGATATTTGTAGGTGAAGTGTATAAGTATGGATGGAGACCTTGTATCTGTACATTAGGTTTTGATATTTGTAGGTGAAGTGTATAAGTATGGATGGGTACTTTGTATCTCTACATTAGGTTTGATATTTGTAGGTGAAGTGTATAAGTATGGATGGGTACCTTGTATCTCTACATTAGGTTCTGATATTTGTAGGTGAAGTGTATAAGTATGGATGGGTACCTTGTATCTGTAGATTAGGTTTGATATTTTTAGGTGAAGTGTATAAGTATGGATGGAGACCTTGTATCTGTAGATTAGGTTTGATATTTGTAGGTGAACTGTATAAGTATGGATGGAGACCTTGTATCTGTAGATAAGATTTTGATATTTGTAGGTGAAGTGTATAAGTATGGATGGAGACCTTGTATCTGTACATTAGGTTTTGATATTTGTAGGTGAAGTGTATAAGTATGGATGGGTACTTTGTATCTCTACATTAGGTTTGATATTTGTAGGTGAAGTGTATAAGTATGGATGGGTACCTTGTATCTCTACATTAGGTTCTGATATTTGTAGGTGAAGTGTATAAGTATGGATGGGTACCTTGTATCTCTACATTAGATTTGATATTTTTAGGTGAAGTGTATAAGTATGGATGGGTACCTTGTATCTCTACATTAGGTTTGATATTTGTAGGTGAAGTGTATAAGTATGGATGGGTATCTTGTATCTCTACATTAGGTTTGATATTTATAGCTGAAGTGTATAAGTATGGATGGGTACCTTGTATCTCTACATTAGATTTGATATTTGTAGGTGAAGTGTATAAGTATGGATGGGTACCTTGTATCTCTACATTAGATTTGATATTTGTAGGTGAAGTGTATAAGTATGGATGGGTACCTTGTATCTCTACATTAGGTTTGATATTTGTAGGTGAAGTGTATAAGTATGGATGGGTACCTTGTATCTCTACATTAGATTTGATATTTGTAGGTGAAGTGTATAAGTATGGATGGAGACCTTGTATCTGTAGATTAGGTTTGATATTTGTAGGTGAACTGTATAAGTATGGATGGAGACCTTGTATCTGTAGATAAGATTTTGATATTTGTAGGTGAAGTGTATAAGTATGGATGGAGACCTTGTATCTGTACATTAGGTTTTGATATTTGTAGGTGAAGTGTATAAGTATGGATGGGTACTTTGTATCTCTACATTAGGTTTGATATTTGTAGGTGAAGTGTATAAGTATGGATGGGTACCTTGTATCTCTACATTAGGTTCTGATATTTGTAGGTGAAGTGTATAAGTATGGATGGGTACCTTGTATCTCTACATTAGATTTGATATTTTTAGGTGAAGTGTATAAGTATGGATGGGTACCTTGTATCTCTACATTAGGTTTGATATTTGTAGGTGAAGTGTATAAGTATGGATGGGTACTTTGTATCTCTACATTAGATTTGATATTTGTAGGTGAAGTGTATAAGTATGGATGGGTACCTTGTATCTCTACATTAGGTTTGATATTTGTAGGTGAAGTGTATAAGTATGGATGGGTACCTTGTATCTCTACATTAGGTTCTGATATTTGTAGGTGAAGTGTATAAGTATGGATGGGTACCTTGTATCTCTACATTAGATTTGATATTTTTAGGTGAAGTGTATAAGTATGGATGGGTACCTTGTATCTCTACATTAGGTTTGATATTTGTAGGTGAAGTGTATAAGTATGGATGGGTATCTTGTATCTCTACATTAGGTTTGATATTTATAGCTGAAGTGTATAAGTATGGATGGGTACCTTGTATCTCTACATTAGATTTGATATTTGTAGGTGAAGTGTATAAGTATGGATGGGTACCTTGTATCTCTACATTAGATTTGATATTTGTAGGTGAAGTGTATAAGTATGGATGGGTACCTTGTATCTCTACATTAGGTTTGATATTTGTAGGTGAAGTGTATAAGTATGGATGGGTACCTTGTATCTCTACATTAGATTTGATATTTGTAGGTGAAGTGTATAAGTATGGATGGAGACCTTGTATCTGTAGATTAGGTTTGATATTTGTAGGTGAACTGTATAAGTATGGATGGAGACCTTGTATCTGTAGATAAGATTTTGATATTTGTAGGTGAAGTGTATAAGTATGGATGGAGACCTTGTATCTGTACATTAGGTTTTGATATTTGTAGGTGAAGTGTATAAGTATGGATGGGTACTTTGTATCTCTACATTAGGTTTGATATTTGTAGGTGAAGTGTATAAGTATGGATGGGTACCTTGTATCTCTACATTAGGTTCTGATATTTGTAGGTGAAGTGTATAAGTATGGATGGGTACCTTGTATCTCTACATTAGATTTGATATTTTTAGGTGAAGTGTATAAGTATGGATGGGTACCTTGTATCTCTACATTAGGTTTGATATTTGTAGGTGAAGTGTATAAGTATGGATGGGTACTTTGTATCTCTACATTAGGTTTGATATTTGTAGGTGAAGTGTATCAGTATGGACGGGTACCTTGTATCTGTACATTAGGTTTTGATATTTGTAGATGAAGTGTATAAGTATGGATGGGTACCTTGTATCTGTACATTAGGTTTTGATATTTGTAGATGAAGTGTATAAGTATGGATGGGTACCTTGTATCTCTACATTAGATTTGATATTTGTAGGTGAAGTGTATAAGTATGGATGGGTACCTTGTATCTCTACATTAGGTTTGATATTTGTAGGTGAAGTGTATAAGTATGGATGGGTACCTTGTATCTGTACATTAGGTTTTGATATTTGTAGGTGAAGTGTATAAGTATGGATGGGTACCTTGTATCTCTACATTAGGTTTGATATTTGTAGGTGAAGTGTATAAGTATGGATGGGTACCTTGTATCTCTACATTAGGTTTGATATTTGTAGGTGAAGTGTATACGTATGGATGGGTACCTTGTATCTGTAGAGGAAGGACACGAGAATACATTCATACGACGCCATTTGATGATGTTTTACGGTTTGTACATTTAGATCTACGTTTAGATCCAATATAATCTTTAGAGACAGTGTTTTTTCTTGGTTTATGTTAAAAAAGTACATGTGTAATTGTCGTAACCAAAACATCATGAACATTGCTACCATGCATCCATGTCAACATATGAACTCTTTTTGTAAAATTATTCAAAATAAAGGTAAATAATTTTCATGAAAGTAAAATAAATTATTTTTATTCCAGTCTAATCAAAATTAGATCTTTATTACTCTCCGCAATTCTCAGAATTTCAGAGCTAAGAACGATCTGATTTTAATCAGATTGATTTTTATTCTTTAATTCATGTCATTTCTTTAAAAACAAAAATAGGGATATCTTTAATTTTGATAATAGACATATTAGGTTTATCTATAAGTATAGTAGTTTATCCATATGGCATAATTAAAAGAACTAATAAAACTGTATGCAAAACACAAGAAACCATAGACCATTTTTACTTTAAAAGTATTAATTTATCTGAATCTGCAGTACACAGGGGTGCCTGGATGGGCCTTAACAAGCTTGTTTGTCCAGAAAAGGACCAGTGGTTCTGGGGTGTGACGTCATCAGAATGCAGACGATTTGACTGGTTTTCACATGAGCTACTTCATAACAAAAAGGGCAATAAATATTGTGGGTTGTTCTGGCAAAGTTTTAACTACCACTGGCACGTAGACAACTGTGCACAGAAAAACTATTACATTTGCGAACTGAAACCGGTAAGGAGAAACATAGTATTTAATCTTGTAAGAGTGACCATTCTCTGTTATAACTGGTTAATACTCCTTAACGTATCAGATTTTCAGAATATCATATATGAAAATATAATGGAACGAAATATGTGTACAGAATATAATTAAGGACAATGGAACAATCTGAAAAGAAAATCCAAAAGCCATCCCTAAAAACTACAAAGCTAAATAAATTGTTAAAACCAGTGTTCTGTATGAAGTTGCTTTATATTAATTTATAGATTTTTTTTCAGGGTAAAAAATGTTATTGTCACATCTAAGACGTCTGAAATGTTTTAAAAACATGGTTTCATGCAACCCTGGGATTCCATGGCAAATACCCTGGCAGTGCTAATAACATTATGGTCAACAATGTGTTGATTTGCTGACAAGACAATTTTATCCCTCTAATTTAGAACAATAAATGCTATAAAATTGTTTATAACAATTTTTTAATTCAATTCCTATGGAACCTCTTTCCCAGTATTTCTACATGTATGCCTTTAGAGTGATCGTGCCTTAGATCATTTGTAATACACAATTTGAATAAATTCAAGCATTCTTAACATTTAAAAAAGGAAAAGGATTTAAACGTATACTTGTAAACTGATGTGAGCAGCAATGGTTTCTGATTATCAAAAGTTTGCTGCCTTTTTAAATTACATTACTTTTTTCTAGACAAAGCTCAGATGAGCAATGTGGCCCAGGGGCCTCTTGTCTTAGTTTTCTTACTTTATTCATTTTTCAAAAGTGACAATATATGCTGCATAATGCAAAAAAAAAAAAAAGTATTCCAGAGGTATAAATAGGTTTATATAAAATGTGCAATAATTACCAGTTAACATATCACAGATGACTACATAGAGCAACATTCAACTGAGAACATACAAAATAAGCAAACTTATATAATCAGTGGGTCAAATTGCATAAACTTAAATCTTTTAAAAGGAAGTACATTTTTCCAGAAAAATCTTTTTGAAGAAGTTATACACTTGCTTTACAATGGCATCTCGTTGGAATTAAAATTTTTCCTTATAAAATTTATAGTATTTCATTAAAATTTTGTTATTCACATTATTTAAAAAATAAGTGGAAAAACTCATCAATAAAAATAGATTGTCATCCTTGAATAGGTCTGTTTGATAGATATTTAATCCAATTATTTGGTATATACATGTATTGACAGTTCATGTCACTTCAACATTTTTGAAGGTGGGATACAGATAGGTGGTTTATTACCCTTTACATAAAAAATTTATGGTTGCAAGGTTAATTTTAAGCCAACTATAATATTGATAACAACTTTGAGATTTGTATATTTGGAATCCATCTACAACTATCAATTTTCTTGGAACACTCTACAGAAAAGCACATGTAAATAAAATTTTTGCGTCTATATAAATCTTTGCAAGTAAAATAATTCATGATACTTGCTGATTTTTCTCACACACAAATAACAATTGGTGATTAAGCCCAAACTTTGTTGACATTATTTTTTTCATTTGAAATAAATAAAAGAATATGGAGTCATTTACGCACTTTAAAGTTAACAAGCTGAACTTTTTTCCTCAGTATCATATCATTCCAAGATCTGTTTAATTCACTGGTTGATAATTATGCTGATTTCTTGGACGACCTTTGTATGTTTTAAATGTACTAAAACTGCTATGAAAAATTGCCATGGAATTTCATGCATGCCTGTACATAGGGTAAATTAATCCTGCACAGAAAAAGAGAAATCTACAGTAAACATATTCTCCATTTTGAAAAATACAATTATATAACAAAATTAATGCATATCTGTTACAAGTTTCAGTGATATAGCTATAAAGCATACATGTATAGGTTTGAAAACTTTTAACAGGACAACGGTATATAACAGGACAATAAAATCTTCATATTTATGACTCTGAAAATAAATTTTTTTTTCTATAATGAGCATCTATCAAACAAACCAATTTTCCTTCTCTCTATAAAATTATCTCTCTATATATGAAGTACACTCCAACCATAAAATTTATTATACAGCTTATTAGCTGATCAACTGGAAACATATTTTATGAGCAAGTACACAAAAATAATAAAACCTGAGCATCATACAACAGTAGTCACAGTTATTTGATATTCATTTGTAATCAGTTTTAATTATCATTTGAATTAGCCTACACAATTCATTACATTTTTAAAGTTGAACATTATACCTCTTAAAATTAATTTGTAGCTTGCCTTAAATCAAAAAAAAATTAAAACATCAAGTAAAAATTGATTCTGTAAATAGTAAAAAGGGATTAATTATTGTTCTCATTTACTAAGTTCATGTTGTGAATTGATAGATTACTGTACTCATCTACAAGGGAGATCCAAAAGGTTTTTTTTTGGTAAAAGGGGGGGGGGGATGGGGTGATAATTTTTAAGCTTAACTTTTTTTTGTCTTTTTCTGTCTTAAATCATCAGAAATTAAACTCTTTTGACCCCCCCCTTTCCCCCTCTCTTTTCAATTCTGAGCAAATGACTGCTTCAAAATGAGTAATATTTGTTGGGATGAATATTTAACTATAGAAATGCCCATCTTATTTTATCTCAATCTTTTCTTTCAAAAGATTGTCTCTGAAAATGAAATAAATGTCAAAACAAAAAATTAAAATTAAACATGTTATCAATAAAAGAAAAATGCCGCACAGCATGTTTGCTATATATGTAATTGCTATCAAACAAAGTTCTGCAATCCTATGAACTGTTAAACATTGATGAACTGTAAAAACTAACCATGATTGATAATGCTTTAGAATTTAAGCACTATGGGTGGATTTCATGTTTATGGATAACAATAAGCACTATATGTTTTCTAGCAAAAACACGCATCATGAGGGTTGCACCAAATACAGAATGACATTCACAGAGGTATATACATTGAAAAATAACAAAGATAAGATATGCACTCAGGAAGATGGTTAACACATTCCTTTAAAATCCTCATGTGATCAATTTTTGACTGTTTAAAAGATTCCAAATAATACAAAGTTTTAACAGTATTCATAAAGTATGGTCATTGACAGAACCAAGAAATAAATTTGAGACAGAATACATAAAAGGTGTTTGATTTTAAACTCACTTTAACATTGTATTAAGAAAAATTAAGTTTAAAATGCAAAAAATTCAGCTGTACAGCTCACAAAATGAAGAGAGAGAAAGGGCTCTCCTTTTGGCAAGAATCAATCCTTGAATAAATAGTTCCTTACTTGTATGAAATATACATTTTGTAGTAGTCGTCCCAATCTAAATATCACAGATTTGTACATAAATAGATCATTAAAAAGCTAAAAATAATCTACTCAATATTAATTCACAGCTCAAAATGCACTTTTAGATACAAGTACATTGCCCTGAAATATTTAATTAAATGTTTCAGGGCTATCAATAAGTTTAGAGATATCTAAAGGTTTGAAATATCTATAAGTTTAGACTTGAGTATTTGATATGATCAGGACTATACTGGCTTATTTAGACTTTTTGAAGATATTCAACTTCAATATTTACATTGTATGATATTAAATTTAACAAATTAAAGTATGACAAATAACTTTGAACTTCAGTGGTTTGCCATTGTAAGGTACATGTACATTGTTAAGATTATGCTTTGGAGTAAAACTTATTTGTTCCCTGATATTTGATCAAACATGACTTCTCATTATACTCTCTGTTTGCCAACTTAATACATGCGGTGAATATAATACATGTATGTGATTTATAAGATGAATAAGTGATATACCCGGTACAATTAATACACAAACTTTGTTTAAAGCTTTCTCAATTAACACAATTATCCTGATTAGTAGTTTGGCATTCTGAAGTTATGTAAATAACAAAGGGCCACAGCTCTCAGCTTAATCACCCTCGGCCCAGCCCTGATGTCCTTCACGTGAAAATTTTCAAAAATTTTCCCCTCCCTTTCTTCCCCCAAAAAATTTTGATCTCATACCATTGCCCTAAACTAGCCCAAATGAGATCTTAACCAAATTTGAAATCACACTAAAGGGGTGATTCAATATTTATATGACTTACAAGAATGAAATTGATGGTTCATTGGTTTTGAAGAAGACTTCAATGATGAAAAGTCCCATGGATGGATGGACAGAATTTCAACAGGTTATCAAAAAGAGGTCCCTTTAACCTTCATTTCTCAGGTGAGTTAATAATAAAAATATGTCACCAAAGAGCATGGACCCGTACAGAGATAAAACAAAAAAATACAAAACAATATCAACAAGTACATGTACTTCAACATTATTAAAGGCTACTTTTTCACTGGTTTGGTTATCCAGATGATAGGTGGGATGAGTTGAGGTTTGTCTAGTGATGTGATAGCTGCTTTAAGTCACTACAGGAATGTCTTGGATGGGTATACTAGCTGCTAAACAATGAGACTGGACCTGGGAAAAAAAGAAGAAAAATATTTAAATATTTAAAAAATATCTAAAATCACCTTGTAAGCCATCATTAAGGCTAAGGGTCTGATATTTTATTTCAAGTAAAAAATGTTGACTTCATGGTGACATGAAGATGAGATTCAGATGGAGACTGATTTTTAACCATCATTATATGGCAATTATAGACATAAGCAAATCACTATCATAAAAAGTCTCTTGTGAGACTGCGGCTCTACTGACATAAAAATTCATTTGACTTAACATCTTTCATTGAAAAGTGTGGCACAGACTTACTTGTGGAATTCTCCATGAGAAATATCACTGTGTCTAACAAACACATCACATCTCCAGGCAGTCAGGGATTCTAACCAGACGCTACCACCTCTCATGTCTTTACCACCAAACAACAGCAGATAGGGCTGGGCTAGTTCCTGTTAAAAAGCACAGATATTTTCTTATTTGTATTTGTACAGTAAAGTAAAAATCTGCAAAGGTACAATAATTTTCCGATATAGAGATTATTAAAGAAAATGGAGCGACTTTATGCTTGTGCCCCTTAATAAACATAGGTAATCAGAGATTACAGAGCTCACCTCAACGAATGTTGTCTTTAAATAAGGCAAAGTCACACAATTAACCAACAAAAAATGTACATTCCAAAAATGAAAATATCTAAGCAATTTTGATCTGATACTTTGAAGTAGACCAACATAAAAAATTTAAAGTAGTTCTTCATGAAAATGTAATTCAGCATCTAAAGCAAATTTGAGTTTTCATCTCTTGATGCAACATTTGTGCAAGTTTGGTTTATACAATGTTATAAAAGCCTTAAAGTTTTTTGGTAATAGACCTGCAACCATAACTTTAACCTGGTCTATTATCTGAAAAATATATATGTCGAATTCAGCATCCGAAGCAAGTCCATTAGTGTGCATCCTAAGATGTATCGTCCATGCAAGTTTGCACATTATAAGGCTCATAGTTAATTGGAAATGAAACATACATCAAAAACTAACATTTTCACTCATCCACAAAATGTAGGTCAGATTCAGCATCCGAAGCAAGCCTGGTAGTATGCATCCTAAGATGTATCATCCATGCAAGATTGGTCATTAAAGAACTCATAGTTACTTGGAAATGAAACCTGCACCAAAAACTTTTACTTGTTCACTCAACCGGAAAATGTAGGTCAGATTCAGCATCCGAAGCCCTGTAGTGTGCATCCTTAGATTTATCATCCATGCAAGTTTGGTCAACATAGGGCTTTAAGTTACTTGCAAATGAAACCTGCTCCAAACACTTAAACCTGTTCACTCAACTGGAAAATGTAGGTCAGATTCAGCATCCGAAGCAAGCCCGGTAGTATCCATCCTTAGATGTATCATCCATGCAAGTTTGGTCAACATAGGGCTTATATTTACTTGGAAATGAAACCTGCACCAAAAACTTTAACCTGTTCACTCAACCGGAAAATGTAGGTCAGATTCAGCATCCGAAGCAAGCCTGGTAGTATCCATCCTTAGATGTATCATCCATGCAAGTTTGGTCAACATAGGACTTACAGATACTTGGAAATGAAACCTGCACCAAAAAACTTTAACCTGTTCACTCAACCGGAAAAAGTAGGTCAGATTCAGCATCCGAAGCAAGCCCGGTAGTATGCATCCTTAGATGTATCATCCATGCAAGTTTGGTTAACATAGGACTTATAGCTACTTGGAAATGAAACCTACACCAAAAACTGCACCAAAAATGTTAACCTGCTCCAAAAACATTAACCTGGTCATTCCTTTGCTAAAATTGCAGCATCTGAAACTTTGACTAGTACAATGAAACACACTAGAACCATCTTCCATGCATGTCTAATCAATATAGGACATAGAAGTACTTAAAAAGAAAACTGCTCCAAAAAACTTAACCTTAACCCGGGACGCCGACACCGACGCCGACACCGACGCCGACGCCGAGGGTATTACATAAGCTCCCCCAACTTCGTTGAGGTGAGCTAAAAATGTAATTTTGGGGGGCTTGTCAAGGAATTTTTAAAGTATGGTTGTGCCCCCCGACCAAAATTGCTTCCTACTGGCCTGTTATCCTTGAATCTAAACCATTATTATGTTCTGATATCTTTTTTACCTTTCCGATCTTCTATGTTTAATACCTGATTTTCTATCCTGGTTTCTTGTCTTTTAGTTATTGGCACTTTTACATTAGGAACAACCTCTTGTTCTTGGACATGCTTTTTGTTCTCAGGCTCTGAGAAATCTGTAGTCATTTCTTTGTTCGTTGCACGGTCTGCTTCGTCTTCTTCGACATCTTCCTTAGCATGCTCTGAATCCTGACTCTGCCAACACAACACAGGACTATCATTCTTTAGGTTGTGAAGGCTTCTGCTACGTAGGGCTGTTTTGGTTTCTGAAACTTTCTCGTTTAAGTTGCGTAATTCCCCCACTGAGGAAGATCTATACCAATCTGATGTCGTATCATTAGCACTGTAAGTACTTGAGCGTTTCCGTAAATTTTTTATTTCCGTCTTGTTTACTTTATACTTCTTGCTATAACCACCAAAATAACTTCTTTGACACTCCCTTTTCACAAAAGCAGTTTCATTCAGTTCTGCGAAGTAATTCTCATAAATTTCTAAATCCTCTACTACTAAGTCCTGTGTTAATTGAGGATATGGCAAAACATTGATCACATTATGACTAAAAGTCTGCATTTTGACCGGCTTCACCCTCTCTGGGGGTTTCTGATGATACCCATAGGACTGAGAGAATGTCTGACACGAGGTCAAGTCCAGAGAGGATAAGCCATCAGAACTGGTAGAAATGTCCATTCCTAGGTTGTCTGCTCCCTTTAAGCTGCTCTGACTACCTTCACTACACTGTGATATGTGTCTCTCCAGCAGTAGAGGTGATTTTTCTTCCTTCTGCTTCGGCGTTGGGGTTCTCATGACAACAGGGATGGAATCAGTCTGACCTTTGACAGACTGTAGCTCCCCTGTCTTTATTTTATTTCCTGGTTCAGACTGAGTGGTGATGGTCTGTAGCTCTATAGTATGAGGTCTCTGTGTAGGCGCTTTGGCTGCTGGTGATGTTTCCTTGATGAAAGGATTAGCACTTGACTGATTTTTTGTTAGCTGCGATTCTTCTGCTTGTGGTTGTTGTAAAGACTCGGAAACATTTTTAGAATTCACAGTCACATTTTCTTTGTCCTGTTTTGGCGTGACCCTATTTCTCGCGGAGGAGTAAGCTGGACTCGAGCGAGGGCGGAGATTTTGCCGCCTTCCATGTTTGTTCTGGAGGTAAGGCATTGAGCTGGTCCGAGTTGAGCTGTCCGTCTTTTTGGACTCTACAGTAATGGCCTCCACTGAGTGCCACATTCTTGCGGAGGGAACTTGATTTGGGATTTCTATATGTGTCCACTTCAAACATTCTGTATGAAAAAAAATATATACATGTATTTCTGAAATCATATGTTTCAACTAACATAAACATAACTAACTTTTTAAAGTTTTTAATAATTTAGAAAATCTATTTAAACTGTGATTAGTGGTGACAATTAGCTTAAATGACAAGAAATTGTTTATGTAAAGCTGGAAGTAGTACATATTGACTAGTGATGCTAAATCACAGTTATGGTATATTTTTTATCACTCACCAAAAGAAAAAACCCAGAAGTCATTTCTAAGTTCTCCATTTTGTTCTCCACCTTGTAAAATCATATTGTCCTTGACCTGCATAAAAAAAAGATCCCATCAGTTGTAAAAAGACAGACACAACATTTATTTATCCAGGATATGGGCTAAATTGATTCATTTTCTTTCTGTTTAGTAAGAAAGATTTGTTATATAGGAAAGTAATAGTATCTTGTAAATTGTGCATTAACATTGAAAGAGTGAAAAACAACCACTCAGGCTTTGTAAAATGATCTCAGTTTATCACCAAATATTACAGAGCGGTACTCACCACTACTGCCGCATGTCCTACTAATGGTGGTGGACCAAACCTACACTTCATACGCGTCCATTTACTGACATCTAAAAGACATAAAAAGACATTGAGCTTACTGGTGTCCACACCTATTCTGATTCTTATTAGACCAAAGTTCTCAAGAGAAGATGTGTCTGAATTAATTGAATTGAAAATGTATGAGGGATAAATAGAATTCTGAATCTCACAGGTATAGTGAATACTATAATTGTAAAATAATATAGTTGAGAATTTCAACACTATAGAGTCAATTACTTTAAACCAACTATTATCTGAGTTATCTTTTATTCGCGATTCGTCCATTTTGAAATCAATCCGCAGTGATAAATTTTTGTGACAGAGGATACGTTCCTTGCAAATACTAAGCAAAATTAATGGTTACAGTAATTAATATTCGCAAGTTTAAGCCATTCGCAAAACTTGCGAAGATTCCTCACATGCGAATAAAAGTTGGTTTACAGTAGTTAGTACAAGTAATAAAATTTTTAAAAATTTGTAAACACTTACGGAAGTTGTAGTACCAGAGGTCTGATTTAGGAGTTAGCCCAGCCAGTCCTCCATAGATCCACATGTTCCTCCCATGAATGACTGCCGTGTGACCATGACGACCCTCAGGCATGTCTGACCGGGTCTGTCGGGGGGTAATCAATTCCCACTCCTCTTCAGCTGAGAATATAGAAACCATACAGTCAAGTTAAACATGACTGGATTAAAAAAAAAATTTTGTAAGGAAGGGTTTTGATGAAATTTCTGTTGCACCCAACTTTCATAAATCTAGTAAATTAAAGAAAATTTCACAGAAGGTATAAATATGTCATAATATGACAGTATTAATAAATTAGTGAATCACTGTCTGCGCCAAGCTGCTAAAATATGAAGCACACTTTTTTTAAGTAAACATACAGTATCAAAACTAAGCTACAATCTTTAAAATTGCAACATGCACTTCTCACAATATAGCCTAGACCATGTTCCAAAAGAAATTAAAATGTCTTACAAATATGGAATGCCCAGAATTCCGAGCTGCTTCCTCTGAGATCCACATATCCTCCGTACACGTACATAACGCCGTCATGGAGGACAGCGGAGTGGTGACGTCTAGTACAGGGCTGAGGAAATCCGGGCTCGCACGACACCTGTCGTACATGAAGGACATCTGTCATAGAGAATATCAGGAATTTAAAAGTGTACTTTGTGAAGAGTGTGAATTACATTTATTTTTCTAAATCATTAAATAAGAGAAGTTTGTGTAGGGGATCTTGAGGTTGCATGTAAAATCCTGACAAGAGCAGAGCAAATCATTTACTATAATACATACCAGGGTTAATTATCCATAGTGCTGAATCTGTGATATCATCCCCAAACGACCCTCCAAACAGCAGGAGGTTTTTCTAAAGTAATAGAATAAAGAATACTGAATTCATAAGGACCTTTCCATGTTACATTGTATGTATTACTGTAAACCAACTTTTATTCACAACGACTTTATTTCAAGATTTACCAGGGGTAAACTAGTTCTCAATGAAAAACTTTCCTGATCAAGCCTTTTTGGATCTGTTGTAAATAGACACCGAGACTTTAAGGACTGGTTCACTGTGATAAATGCAGCAATGATGAGGCTCTCGCGAACCTCGCGAAAATTTCTTGCATGCAAATAAAAGTTGGTTTGCAGTATACAGTAAGGAATCATTGTCTTGTACACTAAGTATGTCAGGCCATTAATGACAATTAAAAGCAATATAATTTTCATAATTAAGGGTGAAGCTGTTCTGGCTTATCATATGAGGGCACAGACCGTGTCCCTCCAGAAAAACAGTAATAGACACAAACTAGCTTAACTAGTAAGAGACCAGGCTCTGTCCCCCTAATAAAGACAGTTAAAGACACAAGCAAAACAAACTGGCGTACCTTGTAAGAGATGAGGCTGTGTCCCTCTAAATGAGGCAGACTTTCCCCCTTTAGTGTCAACCTCTCCCATTGTGAAGTTTCTGTAATGACATAAATTTCAAATGTGGTACATGTATAATTTATCCATAGTTAGATGTGTATGTTGATTTACACTGGGTTTTACTCCATACAAGCCAAGGTCAAAGGCATTCAGTGCAGCAGTGCCAAGTTTGACTTTCCCTAGGATGTCCAGCAAATACATGTATACCCATAACATGCAAAAAGTGATAAGCTGGTACAATGGGATAAACAAAGACTTATTTCATTCAGAGAATTCAGTATTGGTCTAGATTGTACACTGTTGCAATTTCAATTACTCAGTAAATATATATAATAATGATCTTTTAATATTCTATAAGCCCTCCACATGCTCAAGGTGATATAAAAGAAAAGCCTCAGCCCTGAATTTACATGATATACTCTCGATATCTTTTACCTGGATATTATATCTCAGTCAATTAAATCTAGTATTTAATTTGTTTTTGAGATTCTAACCATTCAAACATGTTCCCAAATATTTACAGATTAGAGGTTTATAACATGTATAAAGTATTGTGACATTTGTTTAGTAATAAAAGGACTACAAATAATACATGTAAAAAGCACAGACCATTTTACTGACCAGTAATAAAAATTGAGACCTCCGTCTTGTGTCATAGGATCATTGACTTATTATGATTCTTTGCGAACATGGTTCCCATCATTTCCAACTATATATACATACATGTATAGTTTGTATACACAAGTATTATGCGATACTGACCGATACAGAACCTCCATATATCCTTCAGAGAAACTCTCCCATCCTTCCCCCCGACTACGTATATACAATCACCATGGAGACAGGAGGAGTGACGACTACGTGACCTTGGTAACGGTTTCCCTGGTAACGGTTTTATCTGACTCCACCTGAATGCCAAAGAAATTCCAGACAACTTGTTCTGCATTATTCAGCCATTTTGTTTCTTTTCCTTACGTACCCCTGAAAGTAAAATCAATATTTCACAGTTTAGTGTTTACATTCAAAGTTGTCGATAATTGAATAACCATTGTTATAAAAGAAAACCAACAAACCAACAATTACCAGTGATTACGTAATAATATGCACATCAAAATTCATTTCTTCTCTAAATCATGCCAATACTTCACAATTTTTTTATAATGAAATTAAAATCCAATTTATAGATATTTTATTTTCATAAATAAAAATTAATTATATTTTTAAATGTGTTTTTCATTGTGACACTGTTATCTACTGTCAATTCTCAAGCGATTATGGTCAGAATGAATTTCCCACCCTTTGGTCACTGCATCACCTTGGTCTCTGAAGATTTTTGATGTTGAATTAAAAAACTCACCATGGTTTATCACAAAAGAAAGAATATATCACTGGCTATAAATACACATGACATGCATCTAGGGTAGTGTATTATCTTATTTCATGTGTACAGTGTAACCTTATAATATTACATACTTTTAATATATAAGTTTTCACTGAATAGCAACTGGATTTTTATTCTGTATCTTATTTTAATAATTAAATTATTTGTAAAAGGAAGTTGAAAATGATATATTTAAAAATATAGAGCTGTGGTAATAAATACTAAGAGATATATTTACTCGGCTCACCTCAGCTCGGCTGAAGTGTGCCGAATGAAAGACATTAGCAAAGATTTTTTTTTTGAAGACTTGTTATGCTCATTAAAACTTTTTTGGACAGTTTTATATCATTGTTTTTTACATTCAAATTTGTCAACTATTACTGATTATTATTTCCCCATAGGAAACATTAAACCCCGGGATCAAGAGGCAAGACTTTTAAGCTAGCTCTGTAAAAATCTGGTATATCCTGGGCTGATCTAGAGTGGTGGGAGTACAGTGTTTTCCCTTTATTTCAAAGTAAAGGTGAGATATCAGTTGTAACAGGCTAGGGCATGAGGTTTATGAACAGAATCTCTGTGGACCTTGCAACAAATTTTATTTCAAACTTCATTTTTGTCAATTGAAGCGGTCAATTTGGCCAGTTGACGGTTCTTAAGGAAAACACTGAGAGCATCCAACACTCTCTCCCCCCCCCCCTCCTGAAAAAGAAGTTAAAACTGAATCAACCTCTTAAAATGGAAAGGGTTTATATATAATATATATTGTATATCAGAAGAAAACTGTGACTTTAGTTACAGACCCTATTGAATACCTTTCGGTATCCACAAATGAGAATCTTCCACAATTTTAACCTCAAGGTGTTGGTCTCCAGCTTTTATTTGTTTTATATGTCTTTAAGAAGAGTCAGAAAAATGACAGATATTTCAAATTGTACGAGCCATTGTGGACAAAAAGTAAAGAGGTCTAAACAATCACTGCATTAAGATACAGCTTGAATTACATATGTAGCAATATAGCTAGCTTATTAGTACCATATCGTTTTGATGATACACTTGCACTCCCCCTTATTTATTAACTGTCACACTGAGTACACTTTCAATTCAGCACAATGTGAAGCAATCATACTTGTTCAGTGCATGCAAGGTGGTGCTAGTTTAAAAGAAAGGAAACTTGTCTTTTGATTAAAAAGCAGCAATGTTTTAACTATCTTGACCTCTGGCAGCTCAAATTTTGATAGTTCATTTCATATATAGCACATAATAGGCTGTTAGGTATACAATTTACAAATGAGCAATAGTCTTCAGCCTATTCTTGATTTCTTGTCGAAAAAAGCATTCTTTTTAAACTGCTATTTAATAACGTCATCAGTCATTTCTAAATAATTTAATTAGCTAATTTAGGTTGTACATGTATCAGATTGTGCCCTAGTGCCTGATAAGGGCATATCTGATCAAAATACACTCACCTTGAGCTGAGACAGAATGCGGAATCTTCTGATCAAGTGGAAAATTGAATTAATCAGTTACTTCTAATATAATACTCTCGTAGAACTACCGTGGATATGTGTATATCGTAATAACTGTTTTGACATTTCGAAATTGTAAACATTGAACACCAGGACTTCCGGGATGATGTACATCGAACCCGATGTAAATGACCATAACGAAATACGATTCACATTAAAAGATTGACTACTTTCGGTGTATTTTTGTGGTAAAAAGAAGTAATTTTAAGTAAAGGATTACTGACCTTATCTCCCAGTGTAATAGAAATAGAATTTTAGTGACTTACAAATATAGCTTAGATAAATATTAACGAACATTTTCTATAACGAGGCAAGCTATTGATAAACAAGTTGATAAAACAAGACTATCAATTGGCTCTTTTAAAGCCATCATTTCGTCAAATTCTATTGTCGATCCAATGACCTTGTCAGCAAAATACAATCTTATCATTAAGTCGAATGCTGCAGGACTGACATTTTTCATGGCAATATTGTTAGGTCATTTATTATTTCATCAATATTGTTTGGCCATAATGATTACATTGTACACCTGTATTAACATTCTGGATTGACGACGAATTTTTCCATTCACCTATGCATGCCACATAGCAGACGGCGGGTATATGACCGGCCGACAGGGTATGCTTACACCTGTGATGGTACAAGAAGTCAATATTTGCTCTGCGTGTTCCCGATTTGTATTGTTCCAAGGGACTCTGATCTAAAATAATGTAAGTTATCTCCATATTTCACTCACAAGTTTTGTTGAGAGGGGATAAATGATCTTTTCCATCATTTCCCACCATACATACATGTATACATATAGCTGCAGATCTGTAGCGTTATGGTTTTATATATTTGTCTTTGACCATAATGCTACAGATCCCGTATTGCAAAAAAGTTGCAATTTACGGCGCAATATTTTTTGCGCAATTTTGGGGAGAATTTCTCCACTTTCTAGCATTTGGTCAATCAACTATCTTGCACTCCCTACTTCTTGACACATTCTGTAGCCAATATATGTATATTTTATCCACATACCGACCATTTATAGTTTTCTCTACAGGTAATAAACTCGCTTGAAGTGAATTTTCAGCAATTTGACAAATAATTTCAATCAAGCGAGTTCATCACTTATAGAGACGACTATAAAAGGTTGGAAGATGGATAAAACATGTGTAAATTATACATATTAGTTATATAATGTACCTAGAATTAGGGAGTGAAAGGTAGCTAATTGACCGATGCTGTAAAGTGGAGAAATTCTCCCCCAAAGTGCGCAAAAATATTGCGCCGTAAATTGCACCTTTTTCCATTATGGAATCTGTAGCGTTATGGTCAAAGACATATATGTAAAACTATAATGCTACAAATCTGCAGCTAATGTATACAATGCTAATCATGGTGGATAGAAATGTCTCCTGAAATCGTCCAATCAAATTATTTTATATTTAACTAATCAACATTTATATTACAGCCAATCAGAGTTCCACAATTATTAACCAATCAGTAGTAATTAAGCATAAGAGAAAAGGCCTAAATATAGACACTCATATAGCTGTTGGTGTTCGTTACTTCAATGATGATGTAACACCTATTAGGCTTAGGTTTTTGGACTGTGTCGGGAAACAACAGAATTGTTCGTTAGACCACTCGATCAGCTCAGGAATCTAGTTCCGTAGTGTGTCTCAGTGACTGGTGTCTTTGTGACTTTGGATTGTGTCTTGGTGACTTATAATAATTAATGCTGTCTCGGTGACTTGCTAGGATGTTTTTATACCCCCCGCTTGAAAAGTGGGAGGGTATATAGTAATCGGGATTTCCGCCCGTCCGTCCGTCTGTTACGCTTTATCTCTTATCCGCAAACTCCTCTTATAAATACTACCGAGAGTGAAATTTAATGAAACTTTCACAGCATCTTTATTACATATTGCTATTGTGCACCTCCTATTTTTACTTTTTTATTCGACACGTATTTTAGGTTTCCCATAGCAAAACATGGACATTGCCATTATATGTTTACCTATGACGTCACATATAGAAGCTTCTGGATAACATTTGATAGCACGAGTTATTCCTCTTTACACACTACCGTAAAACAATATATATAGCAACACATGGACATTATGGGAGGCGGGGGTATCATTTAGTGAGCTCATTGCTCACAGTACCTCTAGTTTTATTGGGGGGGGGGGGTAGTTGCAAACTGCGTCGGGAAACAGCAGAATTGTAAGTTAAACCACTCAGTCTGCAGCTACAGCTAGTATTATAACTTAAAAATTTTATAGATTTCATTAATTGGTTTGATTATTAGTGATTCTGTTGTTATAGTTTGTTTTTAGTTAGTTTACTATAATCATTATCCAGTTTATATACTAGTAGTGAAACCTAGGCGAACCCAATTATTTATCATCATACCTCCCGCTTGAAAAGTGGGATGGTATACTGTAATCGATATGTCCGTCCGTCCGTCTGTCTGTTACGCTTTGGGGTACCCATCTCTTATCCGCTACTCCTCTTATACTACTGAGTGAAATTTAATGAAACTGTCACAGAATCTTTATTACTGTAAACCAATTATTATACGCGTCATTTTTTATTCGCGACTGACCGCTAGAGAACTAATCCGCGACGATTTATTTCCGCGAACAAGTGGTCATATTTTTTTCATCTACACAAGTATTTTTTTGTATCAAATTAAAATTTTATATCCGCCCATAAACTAGGTAAAATGCTGCCGTGACTACTGCTTACACATTATCATTCAAGACTTCTGCGCATTGCGTCCATTTAAAATCTTATATCCGCACCTAAAGCAGGTAAAATGTTACCACGAGTATACTTCTTACGCATCATTCACGACGCTCGAATGAAAATTCGGAAAAAAAATCGGGGAGATTAAAGTTGATTTCAAACTCTCTAGTGTAAAAGTACCTCATGCTGATTGGGTAATTGACGCTTTACAAGATCTACATAGCCAAAGGGCAATTATTGTAAATGGTTGGGACAGAGCAGGACTTGGCCATGATTAGTTGTAATTAACCAGGCTATCTCTAACTCGTCTGTGACAATAAAGAACAATAATAACACAAGCTGAAATAATTATTGACATTTTAATCATTTTTAGACAAATAGTTTTAGATTCGCCATTCGTTTATATATTTTTTCTGAATGTTTGTAATTAAATTTATATACTGCTTCCAAACACTAAAGTTCTTCCAATTACTTATTGAACCGCCGGGATCGGTATTCAAAAAGGGCAGATAACTCTAATCATAACATGGGAAAATGAACAGCTGGTTCGCGACGATAAATATCCGCGAGCAGATGTTACTCGCGGAACTCGCGGATATTTATCGCACGCGTATAATACTTGGTTTACAGTACATACGAGGGTTGTCCCGTAAAATCGTGGACAAAGCGTTTTTCTCGAAAAGTAATGGGCGCACTAAGCTGAAATTTTCAGTAAATGTTTATTTATCATATTTAAGTGCATGATATTTTTTTTGATAAAAAATAGGCAAAAATGAAGATTTTATTATGCTTGAATGTGCACGAGGTATTGTCTTACGGCGCACGGTAAAAAAAAAACAACAAGGTTTTATTAAAGAATACACACGTTTGAATTCAAAATAAGTTTTTAATACATAAGATTTGGATTAAAATTATTCTAATTCAAATCCACAATCAATTTTGTAGTCTTTGTAAAAATTTTAAGGCATTTTCTTAATTTTATACAACCCGTTTGAAAAGTGGGAGGATATACTGTAATCGGTATGTCCGTCCGTTCGTCCGTCTGTCTGTTACGCTTTGGGATACCCATCTCTTATCCGCAACTCCTCTTATACTACTGAGTGAAATTTAATGAAACACAGAATCTTTATTACATATTTTACTCTTTATCTTTTTATTATCATGCTTTAGATGCCAGAAATTTTCATAAATACGTAGAGCAGGCTACACTGTATGGTATCAAGTGAGAGAAATATTAAACTCCATATGCATATGGTAAGGGTATATTGCCAATCGTTAAAATTTGAATAGCGCTAAAAATTAATTGCGTATTATTTGTAATAGCTTCAAGCATTTTAAAAATCGCTAAAATTACTTCTCGCTAAAAATAAAACACCAGATTTTAGGTAGAAATCGCTAAATTTGCGTCTCGTTAAAATTTCCACTTATACGGTATACATGTATAGGTATAAGGAAAGTTGACGATTGAAATTATAGTCATCTCGTTTTGCATAAAGTTTTGTTCCTATATTTACTTTTTTTAAGTAGAATATCTAAATATGAGACAGATATAGATGTGCCAGGTTCAGTGGTATGTTATTTCAAGCTTCTATCATAACGACGAAAAATAATGGCGTGTTAATTAGGATTAAATCAGGAAGGAGGTCCTTCAATTTCCAACTCACTCAAAATTATGTCTAATTTAAATCCCTGATACAAATATTATTGCATAAAAAATGATTTGCAAAGGTAACTATCTTTGATTTTAATCTTTGATTTTCAATGCTATAGTGAAATATCATTTTCCATAACGAAACACCATATTTGCCTTGTCTTTTAACAAGCACTGGAAACCTCACCCACCATTATCCCCCGAGAAAAGACAAGAGGCCCATGGGCCACATCGCTCACCTGAGCACTGTGGCTAGGTAAAAGTATACATTGGTTTATTATTGAAAAAGTAAAATCCAAAAGTAGTCCCATGAACAATCATGGATTTTCTATCTTTGAGAAGAAGATTTTTAAAGAAATTTCCTATATATTTCTATGTAAAACTTTGGTCGGCCATTTTGGCCCCGCCCTACCCCCGGGGGTCATGATTTGAACAAACTTGAATCTACACTACCTGAGGATGCTTCCATATAAATATGATGAATTATGGCTAGGTCATTCTTGAGAAGAAGATTTTTAAAGAATTTTCCTATATAATTCTAAGTAAAACTTTGGTCGGCCATTTTGGCCCCGCCCTACCCCCGGGGGTCATGATTTGAAAAAACTTGCATCTACACTACCTGAGGATGCTTCCATATAAATATGATGAATTATGGCTTGGTTATTCTTGAGAAGAAGATTTTTAAAGAATTTTCCTATATATTTCTATGTAAAAATTTGGTCGGCCATTTTGGCCCCGCCCTACCCCCGGGGGT